TGTATAAAACTAAAATGACACAATAGGTCATTGATAACACCATCGATCAATCAGGAAAAGGAAAAAGAAGGAAAGAAAAAATAAAGAGAGAGAGAGAGGATAGAGAAAGGCGTGATGAACGATGTACTTTCCAAGAAATGTTGTCCTCTTATATGACATAGGGCTCTGACATCCGCCCCTCACTTATCGTTGCTTCCAATGGCGATAAGGAACGCTAGGGTTTCACTGCTTTGTCGTTAAGCAGTTTTAATGATCTTTCTGCTGAAGTATCTCACTTTTGGATCCTTACTCTTACCAACAGTTATTTATAGATTACCTGATAATTTATCTATAAGCTTAATGTTTAATCGACTAGACGACTAAATTCGATCCGATAAGAAGGAAGAATTATTTTATATGTTTAAAAACTTGTGTATATAGTGTATATACACACTTCACTTCTATGTATGGTGCATCTATATACACGTAAACTTGTATTCTAGGCCTATGTACTTGTACAGTACAGTAGCAACCAAACAATTGAAAGATGTGTTCGGAAATTCTAAAATTCTATAATCTAGTACAAGAATCGTTTCCAGAAAGTTAATATTTTAATCTGTTTTTGGAATTTTTACTTTATTTTTTTTGGTGAGGTTCCTGTTTAGCGACGATAAGATTGGTTTTTAATGAATATTTGCGGGCGAGTGGCGAAACAATCGAAAGATTTCCTATTCATTTCCAGCATTTTAATTAAGGAAAAAAATCGAAGTTATATAAATCTAATTTAAGTGCCTTGTTATCTACAATGGACACATTTCCCGAATCCAACAAACTTAAATTACAGTAGAAATTTATCTTTCTCTAAAACCATTTTATAAAGGTTTCTGTTTAGATAAAAAACTAAAATATATTAAAATATTACATTTACAATAGCTTAATTATAATCTTAAACGTTTATTTCACTAATAAAATCATTTAAAATGCATATAAAAAGCATTAAATATAGATTTATACGCTGATAAATGTCGCAATTTAGAACTAGTGTGTTGTTGTAATCTTATCAGATTTAGATGAATTAATTAATTTTATATATTTGAAATTTCCTCTATTTAATTTCTAAACTAGAAAATAATCTTATGCACACGATCTAGACGAAAAAATGAAGGGAAATTCTCTATAAGAATGAGTTAAACATGCTCTATCTTCATCCGTATCAGGTAAATAGAGATGCTCTTCGTTCGGTTTCAATGTAGATTTAGGTTTCATATTCCATATTTTAATTTTATTTCCATTGAATTCTTTAAAATATTTTTAAAAATATTCCCGAAGAATTAGTTTAATTTCAAAGCTAATTCATGCGAATTTTTCGATGCTTCTATCAGAATTAAAACACCAGCAAACAGAAAATTAAGCAAGAAAAAGGACAGAAAATATGATGAAATACTTTATAAATAAATTAATTTCAGTAGAATCGATAATTATATATTAATTTTGTATACATTTTTGCCATCCTTTGTAATTAAAATAAATTGTATAGCCTATGTACTGTACTTATTTAAATTTACAACAAACTAGACCTTATAAATTAAATAGCTAAATCAATGATTTTACGTATGATAAAATGTAAACTTTTTAAAATTTCTAATATATTTAATCGAATCCTGTATAAAATAACCTTTATGATATATCATATAGCTAGGATAGTCCATGATTTCCTGTTTTAAACCCTCAAAAAATAGAATAAAATTGTAAATAGAATCATTTTATATGTCTTCTGACTCATTATATAAATTATTTTTAAAAAAAATAACTTAAATTTATCGATTTTAAACAAATTTTCAATCATTCTTCGTGCGATAAACTACCGAAAAAGTCAAAAATCTAACAGGAAAAAAGAAAAAAATGAGTTTAAAAGACGATATTTTTCCTTTAAAAATCTCTCTACACCGTTTTAGTTCTTTTATAATCACGCTAAAAACAACCATAATCTTGTAAAAATGACTCGTAAAAACAGAAAAATAAACACGTTCCGAATATATATATAAAAAAAGAGAAAAAAAAAGGAAAAAAAATTGTGTAAATCTCCAATTTTACAGCGTGATTTAAGTTCCAAGAGAGAAACCGAAGCAGAATGTTTTGCAAAAACAAAATTTATATATTGTAAATAAAGAAGAGAAGGAAGTCAGTTTATATTTTGACGAGCATCTCGACCAGAGTAGTGATGCTCTAAATGTCACTTTTCAGATCGCTTCACGTCCACTGATGTAGTTAATCGCGACAGGATGCTGTGCTGGTATGTGGGTTAGGTCTAGTCTAAATCCGTGATCCGTCCATGAGTAGGAAAGCGGCGACTGTTATTTTTGACATGGCACTAAAGAGAAAGAAGGAAAGGAAAAAAAAAAGAATCTTCTCTACACTCGTTTGTATGACCTCAAATCGAAATATGAATATTTAAGAATGGAAAATGTAAGCTTATTCGGCCTTACTACTGCTTATTTTTCTTAAAATTTATACGAATTGGAGCAATTTTAATCGAGTTTAAACGTTTAAATGTTATTTCTGACATGACACTAAAGAGAAAGAAGGGGGGAAAAAACCTTCTCTACACTCGTTTGTATGTCTTCAAATCGAAATACGAATCCGTTTTACTGTCTATTTTCTTAAAATGTACACGTTTTAATCGAAAAAGCATTATAAATACTGAGAAAAGTCAATATTTTGATGAATAAATCAGTTTTTCTACCTTTAATCTGTTTGGAGTAAGTGAAAATACAGATAAAACCTGTATAAAAAAAACTTAACTCTTGTCGAGAACAAACCGATACTTGAGTGAACATAAATACAGGTTCTTTAAGGCCTTTAAAGAAGTCTTTGTTTTTGACATTCTTTCAAGGTCTAGGTGCTAATTATCTTCACAAGTCTGAAAATTTAGACAGTTTTGCTTCGATAGTTTTTGCTTCCACTTACAACAAATGTAAGCCTGTAAATTCTCTAACCTTAACTTTATATATAGCCTAAGACTTAAATTTAAAAATAAAAATATAAACTATGTTTACTAAGTTTATATTTTTAAAGATAGGATAGAATTATAACCGTTTAGATTACACTTTAGGCCATCTTTAAACGGTACATAATTGAAAAAATACACCGGATAATGGCCAAAAACTATTATTTTTCATCACAATAATAAAAAAAACGGATAGATTTGTGTTTATATTAGGTATTTTTCGGAGAAAATTTTAAGATTTGTATGCTCCAGAATAGATTTAACCAACGTCCTATAATTCAAGATGATTTTGTGGATCATCTTATTGCCGGGACTTATATTTATCATCGTCACTTACTGCTTAGGCCTATATAGAATCGTATCTGGTCCATCAATCTACCACAAAATAGCAAGGGATAGTTTTTTTTTTTCCGGTGGTTGAGGTTTAGCATCATGAGCTTATTAATTATAGCGCTTGACAGATTCATTAATTTAACACGAACTAGCTACGAGATGTGGTTTTTAGAATCATCTATCTACTAACAATTCGGCCATTTTTTAAAAACAAATTATTGAATTGTCAGTAGATAAATGACTGTAAATTGTTGTAAAATATTCGGGAATGTTTAGCGTAATATTAATTCTGTTTAGTTAGGCTTTAATGTCAACACTTATAGAAAACTGGAGCAGAAAAACACAGGATGCGGATAAAATCATACTCTGAAGGATATAGGATACAAATCGCTAGAGAAAATCATAGTATAATACGTAAAATAAACGTTAAAATCATAAATTATTATACAGGATACAGGATAAAATCAAAATATATCCCTTAAGTTCAAAGATGTAACGTGTAGAAGGTATCCTATAAGAGTATAGAAAGTACTCCATTGCTATATTATTGGAATTTTTTTATAAATTGATAGATTTAAAGCATTAAATTCTTCAAAATTCAGAGATATTGATGATTATTTTCAATTAGAAACTTAGTAAAAGATATTCTGGTGATAGATGATCCTATTTAGCAGTAAGCTAGGCCTATTAGTGATAGCGATCTTAAGAGCAGTAGTTAGAGCAAAGATACAAGATCAACAAACTGCTAATGACTACCGTTTTTAAGATTATCTGGCGCTATATTTATCATAAAAATCCTTTTTTCCAGTTAAAGTTGTCTATTATAAAAGAAAAAACAAATGAAAAAATTAAGAAATCGGACGTGAAGAATAATAGACAACAGCAGGCCTATAGGTCCAATCCATGTTACAGACCTACACATGACCGGATTTATAAGAGGCCCTTTCAACGATAGTAAATTTAAAAGGCCTTAAGTTGTAGTTTGCTTACGTATAAATTCGGCATTTGGCCTACATTTATGATCCAGGTTAATCTAATTTAAAAATTTCGCTTTCAAGTAAGCGAAATTTAAGTCTTCAGAAGTGATATAAAGCATTAAGATTTTTAATTATAATTAACTTAAGAATCGAAGCCAAAAACTAAATTATTGTCTCCACAAAATAATGATTCAATATTTAAAATAATAATAATAATAATAATAATAATAAACTCTATGCAACAGTTTTTACGAAACTTATCTGCATATATTTAAGCAATAAATTTCGGTCTATAAATTTATCAAATGTTTATTATGGGTAATAAATTTTGAATATGTGTTTGTTAACAACGATTTCTTTCATTATTAATCTCATATCACGTTATAAATCCTAAATAATACTTTAAAAAATCGTTTTATCTTCAGTCTAGTGTCATTTTTGCATGTAAATTCTTGCTAGGAACCGCTGATATTTTGCATGTTAAGTTGCATCTACAGGTATTTACATTGGTTTATACAGATAGAGCATACAGTTTTATGAAGCAAAAAAGCATAAATTTTCGAATATAAATAAGAAAAATTAACATTTTTAATAGTTACTAGAAAACATTTCTATAAAATTTCCATTTATCATAGAGCTAAAGATCAAATTTGTCAGTAATTTTNGAATAAAACTTATAAAATATATTTAAAACTAATTTTGGATGTTGTAAATAAAAATAAATGCTTGTTTATTTGAAAAAAAAAATAACGTATAAACTTTACAGAAAGAAGGAGTTATCTTATTAATTAAAGAGAGAGAAGCTCAAGATGATCTCCATCCTTCATCCCAAAGATGGGATTAATTAAGTAAATAATGACTAAAACTCTCCAAAAAGTGTATAAATTTACTTGAACTGCCCTTCTAAACGTAGTAGCAATATATCCAGAAGCTGTGAGTTAGCACAGATGGCAAAAAAGGAAGAAATCCCAACATCTGCACGTCTAATTCCCAGACAGGAAGTGTGCTCCCGAGAGAATATCGCTATCTAAATATAAAAAGTTACGATATTTAACTAAATTAGGAGTTAAAATGCGTTTTATAGTCGGATATACAACGTTATAATGGGTCTCGTATGTACATTTTATCACGTTTAAAAATTGAAGATGTAGATTGTCTCCATCACCTTCACTCATTCCAGACTTTTTATAAATTTTCGGCTTTAGCTAAACTCTAATGATCATTTAGTACTTTAATTAGTATATATGTAAATAATTACATTTAATTATAATAGATAATTTGTTTAATTCACTTAAATAGAAACGTCAGATCATTGCCTACAGGATAAACTTTCACTGAGAAACGTATAGGGCCTAAATTTAATAGATTCTTGCCAATTATCTTTAAAAAATGGAAGATATTTAAGCTCAAAAATTGAGGAATAAAACAACAAAAATCCCGTTTAAACAATTAAACATATCACTTAAATAACTCAAAAATATGAGCATAAAATTCGAAATTTGGACTTTAAAATCCGAACATAAAATGATGCAAAATTACTTGGAGGGAAAAAGAAGAAGAAGAAGAAGAAGAAGAAGAAGAAAAGCATTCAAATTACCTCTTAGGAACATTAATTTACTTTAAATTCACCACAAATTTTCACAGAAGAGATCTTGTTAAACAAACTAGAATCGTTACAAGAGAAGCATTAACCAGATGCCGCGTAACATCTCTACAATTTCTGATCAGGAATCTCTACTCGAAACTGTTGCAAATGGTTCATGTTTATTATCAAACTATCTCCTCTGACAAATTCCCTTTCAGTAACTCTTAATTGTTTTTTAACAAACGAGCAATTTATGAGTAACAACAATCGTCCAATGTGAGGGATTGTTAGAGGAAGAAAGATAAGGAGGAGGAAGATGTCTAACGGATGTTATCGCCCGAAATGGTAATGTTACCTTGTTACGGGGGATATTCAACGCTATAACAACTTTACTATTGACTTTTTCTTGTAGTCAGTAGAATTTTTAAAGATGTTTTCATAGCGAGAACGTTGAATAAACATTTATTAAGTCAACGTTTTTCGCTTTGTAATTGGGATGTTTTAAGTCAAAGTTCGCATCCTCCGAATGTATAAACGGGAAAATAGCATAGATTTTTCGTTGTTTGGTACGTAATTTTCTACTAAAGTTGATTATACTTCGAGATAAAACGTAATTAGAACGATTAATTTGAGCTCCCGTGCACATTCCCCAAAACGGTTTGTTCCATTTCTTGCTAATTTTTAAGCTGAGATAATTTATTAATAGGAACTATTCAAGGAGAAAATAGTCTCAAGCTGCTACTTCTATTAATAGGTATGCGAGTTTTTAAGCAATAATAAAAACAAAGAAAAATATTACGTGATAATGTTTTTGTAATTAAAAAAGGAAATAAATAAAATCATTTTTAACCTAAAAATGAACTTTTATAAAATATTTTTATAGGCCTAAATTATTTTTTTAATTAAAAAATGAATTAAATATTTTAAATTTCAATTATTTTTTTTGCTTCAGGCGATTTAAATTACATATTTTTTCCTTTTTTTTTTTAAAATGAAATGTTATAGCATGCACATTATAAGCTTATAGAATGCAACAATTTAGTAGATTTTATCACATATTAATTTAGTTTTTATCTTATTTTATAAGCTAATTTATTAATAAAATAGCTTAAATATTTTTCTATAAGGTTAAATTAGTTTATAAGGTAATTTTACTAATTATTAGTTTCTCTCCTACAGGCCTATAACATGCTAATAAAGTTTTTAACTTAGATTATTAAAATGATGCATTTTTAAATATTTATCCTTTAAATATATAATTAAACGTACGAATTAAGCAAAATCTACGTAAATTTTTGTATATTAAAGATAATTATTTAAGTTAATATACGTCAAAGTCATCAATAATAATTAAAAGTATTTTATTCTTAATTTTTAAAAAATTTATAATATATTTAGCACGAATATTATTTTGTCTATATTTTTTAATAATTAAAAACAATATAGGCCTCATCTTTATAGTTTATTCTTCAACGTAATTAACAATGACGATGCTAAAAGGATTTTCGATTATAATAAAACTGTTAACAAAATGAATAAAACTTATAAAATATATTTAAAACTAATTTTGGATGTTGTAAATAAAAATAAATGCTTGTTTATTTGAAAAAAAAAATAACGTATAAACTTTACAGAAAGAAGGAGTTATCTTATTAATTAAAGAGAGAGAAGCTCAAGATGATCTCCATCCTTCATCCCAAAGATGGGATTAATTAAGTAAATAATGACTAAAACTCTCCAAAAAGTGTATAAATTTACTTGAACTGCCCTTCTAAACGTAGTAGCAATATATCCAGAAGCTGTGAGTTAGCACAGATGGCAAAAAAGGAAGAAATCCCAACATCTGCACGTCTAATTCCCAGACAGGAAGTGTGCTCCCGAGAGAATATCGCTATCTAAATATAAAAAGTTACGATATTTAACTAAATTAGGAGTTAAAATGCGTTTTATAGTCGGATATACAACGTTATAATGGGTCTCGTATGTACATTTTATCACGTTTAAAAATTGAAGATGTAGATTGTCTCCATCACCTTCACTCATCCCACAAAAATGGATTTTAGTATATCACAGCTTGGTTTTGTTTTATTTTTTTTTTAATATACTAAAATTAAGACTTAGTACCTTATAGTAATCACATATTTACTTAATTATAATGTAAAATTTGATCCATTTAATAGCGCTTAATTATAAAAAAAAAAAAACAGGATATAACTATAGGCCTACCGAATGGCGACGATAATAATCAATTTTGCCACTTACAAAACTAATTTCTAGATAATTATTTAATGGTCGAATATAAAATACAGCTTAATATTATAACTAGAACAACGATTTAATATAGATAAATAGTTGTTGAACAGAATTTAGATCGAATGCAAACCTCCTTTGGCATACATCCAATGCCAATTCAAAATTAACATTTGCTGATATTGCTAACTCCCCAAGAAGTAAAAACTGTATATACTAAGCAGAAGTGCGATCGAAAGACGTGATGAGTAACACAGTGACTGTGTGACAGATTATCTAGTTGCTAAAATTCCTCCAAACACGTAAAGTTTCTCCTTAATAACTTAGTGCTTATACATAAAGCCGAACTATCACGGGTTGCTCCCCATTTAAATATATATATTTTAAATATTGTGTGATATGATATGTAGATTTTGAAACAATTGTTACTGGAGTCAAGCAATCTAATTATTTAGTTTAATGGCAAAATTGGTGTTTGTCACACTTAACTGAAAATAGATAATGAGACATTCTCGATACAATCAACAGGAAAAAAAAAGTGAAAGTAATTTACCATGTTGTCCAAATTCTGTCAGGATTTCGTGACGTAACGTCGAACACAAAGACACGTTATATATTTTTTTCTCTAAAACTCTGTGTTTAAAATGTATTTACACTCACATAAACATGTCTTTAAGTATCAGTATCTTGCACAGTCGTAACTACCGTATGCTGTAGTTGTCCTGAACTGATACGTTCCTCCATAGTTTAGTTGACAGTTCGGGTTGGACGTACCGACGGGGGACGAGTTGAGAAGTCGTTGGGGATCGTACATTTCCCTATAGGTAGCCTCGCCCCCCACAGTTTCGGCCGGAAGGGTGTACCAAGTATTGGTGGTAGACGAGTTTTGCGCCGTCCGATTCGTAACATAATTGTGCCCCGACGAAGACGTCAGCCCCACGATGGAACACCCCAGATAGGAAGAAGACACGTCGTCCAGGGTGACGGTCCTCCCGTTGCTGTAACCCACGGGCGAGGGTGGAGTGGGGTACGTGGTACAGGTCGTGGTGCAAGTGGGCTGGCAAGTGTACATGGAGTGTCTAGCGTTGTAACCGTTGTTGACCCCGCACTGTCCCATGGAGGTGACGTCGAGTAGGACCGTCGAAAGATTAGGCGATTGGCTTCTACCGGACATTAAAGAGTCGATGGCGTACGCGTTCGACTCTATGGCGTCACCGTTCAATATTGTGGTGGAAGTGGAAGGAACAGGAGATGTGACGGATGGAGCCAGGGATGCAGCTGTCGGACTCGTCTTGTTGTCGTAAGGATATTCTTGTTTTAAACAAGACGTAATTGCAGAAGTTTCTCTAGGCTCCACTTTGGGTGCTACCGTACACTGCACGGAACCTTGGCCTACTCCTTCATTATTCCTTGCTTCGCTTAAACTATCGAGTTCGTCCTCGTTAACTTTCTGACTCGCGTTCTCTACCTGTTTTTTCTTCTCTTCTTTATCTTTGCCGGCATCCTTCTTCTTGAATCTCCTCCTTCGTCTCAGGTAGCTTCCATTATCGAACATGTTATCGCTATCGGGATCTAGAGTCCAGAACGATCCTTTACCGGGTTTCTTATCGTCTCGTGGTATTTTAACGAAGCACTCGTTCAAGCTCAGGTTGTGACGTATGGAGTTTTGCCATCCCTGTTTGTTCTCCCGATAATACGGGAAGCGATCCATAATGTATTGATAGATTCCATTCAGGGTTATCTTCTTGTCCGGCGCATTCTGGATTGCCATGGCTATCAATGCTATGTAGGAATATGGCGGCTTGACCATCTCCTTGCCTGCTACTTGCTGGCTGGCCTGAGTGGCGTACGAAGGTCCGTAGGGTGCGGGCCGAACCATCCCGTTACCGGTCGAAGATCTGGGCGAGTTGTAGCCCGACACCGCGTTGGGTGCGTGTATACTGTTCACACCCATACCCCCATATCCGCCGTAGCGGTAGTAACCGTGTCCTTCGCCGTATAATGGGTGCATGGGGTGTCTAATGGTGCCGAATCGCCATCACACTTATTTAACTCTTCCTCGACGTATCTGGCATATTAGAAAGTCGCAGACTTGTAGACGTTAGACTACTTGTTAAGGACGAAATCACCTCTCCACAGCCGGTGAGATGCAAGCTGAGTTCTGGAGGGTTGGTTCTCCGCCTACTGGCTCCAGTCAGCCAATGGGAGAAGCTCTTGGCCGAGACGGAAGGTATTCCTAGTGTAGCGAATTAACAGGCGACAAATTAATTAGTGTGACATGTCTGTGCCAACCATTTGCGAAGATTTAAAGAGTAATAAGGGCACGTTGCTTTGTTTGACTGATTTTAATATTTAAAAAAAATCTTTATTTGCTTATAATAATTGTTTAATATTTTACGTCATAAATCCTATTTTAATTATTTTATAATAAATGTGACGGAGGCCTTTGTATAATAATCTAAATTATTAGGTTAGTGCGTAGATTTATGCCTTTGTTTCCACGAAAACAACAGTTCTTATGTTTTTTGTTTTAATGCCAATTTTTACATTTTATCGAATGAAATTTTAGATTTTTACACGAAAATCTTAACCGAAATTACACAGATATATAAACATATTATTAAAGAAAAATCTAAAAATAACTGTTAACGTTCGTTCCATCGTTAAAAGCTGCTTAGAATTTATTACTTGTTCCACTTTTAAGCTCTTTTTTTAATTAAATCTGGCACCATAGCCATGTTAACCATGCATTAAACTTGTCAAAAATCCTATTATAAAGTCGGATAATTCTATTAAGTGTGCATAAATAGCTTCTTTGGTTCGTTGTTTATTGTGTGAAGTTTGAAATTACCATATAATTTCCTTATTTTATATAATAATTAGTTCGTTCGTTCATCACGTTGCAGCTTTAACCACGAGAAACACTAATCATTGAATAATTATTTCTACGCATTAATTTTTCACAAAGTTTATATTTTAAAGGATGTGAGATCTTTTTAAATATATTGAACCTGTCCTTATATCCATATTTTGTATATTTAACGTGTCATTTATCTACAGCTGGATACAGCAGCTGGATATATACAGCTGAATAATCATACATTGATGCGGATCTCGTAACGCTTTTCGTAAGATTATTTTAGAGAAAATTCAAGGCCTGGTCTGTAATTCTACATAAATTTAAATCGCCGAAAGTATATAATAACCGAAAAATAAAATAGTTATACGTATACTAAACGTAAATTCTACGAAGATGAGAAGCAAACAAGGAAGGGGGGAGAAAAATACTCTTTTGAAGTTCTGTATCNTAAGTAATAAAAAAACCCCGCATTTTATTTGTTTTATTGATTTTATTCACATATTTTATAACTTTTTGACAGGATTGGGGCCTCGCATTTGTGAGTAGTTCGAGCCTCATTCATCCCCTTCAATCGGTCTCTAAAGAAGTGAGATAAGGCTCGACTTAATAATTATTAATTAAAATAGTAATAACTAAAGCTAAGCAAAAATAGGTGAGTTTCAATAGGAATAAACAGGTTTATTACTTAAATAATTTACTTAATAAAATAAGATTTTTATATTAAAAATGTAAAAAATTCGAATTAAAGAAGAATTAATTGTAAATTTCCTTAGTGAGATCATTTAATTTGTTTCTTAACGCGAAAACAATTCGCATCCGTAACGTTAATTGAAATGAAAATTAAAACAATTGAATCAATTAATGCGTAAACATTTAATTATAATTACTGAAAATTGCATTGTTATCGAATGATATATTGTTAAACGTCAAGTTTCAAATAGAAAATTTAATTAAATTGAAGATATTTTAATAAGGAGACAGCACATTTATTATAATTCATATAATATTTGAATAATTTACTAATAATGAACTTTGGTATTCGACCTAAAAATATAGGAGGAAAAAAAAAGAATTTAATCCAATTACATTACGGAATATATAATTAAATTTTAATTACGATCAAATTGCTAAATTAGTATTACTTACGACCCTATTGAATTTGTAAAAGTCAGCAATGTCGTGTAGTGTTTCTGTAGTGTAAGGCGTATAATAAAATATGTATTTTTATTTATTTTAAATGCTATATATATATAAAAAAGGTTTATTCGTAAGTTGATAATAATTGAATTTTAGTCACGTTGATAATTGAAGCAGAAACAGAATGCTCTTTTGACTAGAGTGCATGACACGGTGTTGAAAACAAACTGACTTAGGAATGTTACGGGACTAAGTCTTAACAAGTGAAGAGGGAAAAAAAGACCAACCCTGTCAGGACAGAAGAAAGATGGTTGCTATATCTAACGGTTTGGTAGGGATTTTTTGGCAACTAATCAAATCGAATTTACCTTTTTTAGATTTGGTCGCAATTCAAATCTTTCTTCGATCCCCGTTCTTCTACATCGATCCATAAACCAGTTACAGACTTTTAACCTTTGCCCTCGAGGTCAAACTATGTTAAATAACAGAAAAAAAAATAATAGAATAATTCGCGGAGACGAGTTGTTAACAAATTAAGGGGTTGGTAAACGTTCTACACAATGATGGGAATGTTTGTATAATGCTAAAAGACAAGCCAAAACGTCAGTCAGGGTGTATATAAATATTTTTTACGTAAGAATAAACATGTTAATTTTTTTTTTTTTTTGTGAAATTTCATTTTGTAAAGATTTCCTGACGACGTCAACTTTGACCTTAACCACTCCAGTCGAAAAAAAAGGTCGAATAAACAGTCGAATGTATGGAGCATAAATCACAGGTAGAGAAGCGCGGGTCACGAACTAACAGGTAAGTGGTCATGTTATCGTTAACGGAGGTCAAATGGACCAAGTTGCTAGTCATGTACCGAGCAACTGTTACTGCATGGCAGAAGTGAATATAAGGACACGCACGGACAATTAAAACTGTACAATGGACTGTGTACCCGGAGTTTGAGCGTTTATCAACTCTTGTACACCTCTGATTATTAGAGAAATGGCATTATGTTGGATTTATTATCGTATAAAAAAGGTGTGTGTGGGCGAATTGATAGAAACGGATAGAATTTCTCCTTTTGTATAATTGCTCTTACTTCTCTTCAAGGTTCAGTGTTGTGTGAATGGAACTTGTAAATATCTAGTAACACGGTTCAACTGCCCTGGTGCGTATCGTTACCTTTTTTTTCCTCCCTCTTTTAGAATTAGACCCTAAAATATAGAATATATAAAGAGAGAAAATGGCAAAAGGTTAAAGCGTAAATTACGACTAACACAGATTAATGGGGCATAAATGAGTAAAGGGTCAATGTAGAATAAGCCTACGAAACACTTTAAAAACAGTTGAGTAGGAAGACGAATTATATAAAATTTAACTGTTGTTACTAAAGGCTGGCATAAAAGGCTTGTACAGTACCTGTTAAAAATTGTCTATCTTAAAATTACACCACGCCTTATAGATCATAACTTATAGACTATTTGCATTATAATTAGATTTTCTCACTTAAAAGTAATTTAAAACCATGCATAAACGTAAAATATATCGTATTTAAACATAAATTAATATTTATTCTAGCTTAAATCTATAGACGAATCGAATTATAACTGACTTTCAAGGAGGATTTTATATACGTGCTCCCGTATAGCTCTGGTGAATACGTAAATCTGTATACAGTTCAACTAACTTTAGAATCGAAAGGTGTGTACAGACATCGTTACATCATATACCACGAATTTTTATATATTATACACAACACAGATTATTACAGATACATAAATTTACAATAGAAAGTTTATACACTAATTTAAAGTCTATAGAATTAGTATAAGACCGAGGATGTTATTAATTAATTAAAAATTATAATATTTATATATTATGATACTAAATATACAGTTTAGAATTCATACAAATTTAAAATTATATTTTAAAAAATTGTTAAAAGTCGGTTAAAATATCATATTGTAGGTAGGCCTCTTCTAGTAGATCTGGTGTGTAAACAAACATAGTCTTTGTACAGAAATTGATATAATCAATTTCTGTACAAAGTAAATTGAAGTTTATGATAAAAAAAAAAAAAAGAATCCTTTAATACGATATTCTTCGATTTTATTAATTTATAAACGGGTAAATTTCCATTAGGTGCGAATAAAAGTCACCTTCTAACCAGCCATTGTTTTGGTTTTGATTGACACGTACTTAGATTACAACGAGTTTTATTCGTTCGAATATTTTTAAAATCACAATTGTTCATACATCATCTCTTGACAATATTCGTATTAAGCATTATAGATGAATTATATTCGATATTGTTAGACACGACTATTTATAAAAACTGTTTTCGTAAGTATAGTCGATGGTAAACAGGAGGATTAGCGAAGTAAATTTAAAGCCACGATGAAGAAATTTTGGTGATTTAGCATTCTAGGAAGAAGGCAAATTTTAGTTTGTTTCAATATTTTCTTAATTTGTTTTCTTTTTTTTTTTTAATAAATAACATTTCTTTCGACATTCCTATGTAATTTTATAGGATTATTTAGCACAAATGTCGTTGGAAAGACGAACTTGCATGAGTTAAAATTAAACTTTTTAAACGTTAATTTTGCGAAATAGTGAAGATTTTTACTTGAAAAACCGTGAAAAATATTCTAAATGTTGACAAATTTTAATTAATTATGATAAAGTATAAGTTATAAATATATTAAGAGCTAGCTTAAGAGAATGACACACAGTTACAAGGTTGCATTTTTTGGATGGAAACATTTAAATTTAATACGTAAAAAGTTTATTATTTCTTCTATNTATAGTAATCACATATTTACTTAATTATAATGTAAAATTTGATCCATTTAATAGCGCTTAATTATAAAAAAAAAAAAACAGGATATAACTATAGGCCTACCGAATGGCGACGATAATAATCAATTTTGCCACTTACAAAACTAATTTCTAGATAATTATTTAATGGTCGAATATAAAATACAGCTTAATATTATAACTAGAACAACGATTTAATATAGATAAATAGTTGTTGAACAGAATTTAGATCGAATGCAAACCTCCTTTGGCATACATCCAATGCCAATTCAAAATTAACATTTGCTGATATTGCTAACTCCCCAAGAAGTAAAAACTGTATATACTAAGCAGAAGTGCGATCGAAAGACGTGATGAGTAACACAGTGACTGTGTGACAGATTATCTAGTTGCTAAAATTCCTCCAAACACGTAAAGTTTCTCCTTAATAACTTAGTGCTTATACATAAAGCCGAACTATCACGGGTTGCTCCCCATTTAAATATATATATTTTAAATATTGTGTGATATGATATGTAGATTTTGAAACAATTGTTACTGGAGTCAAGCAATCTAATTATTTAGTTTAATGGCAAAATTGGTGTTTGTCACACTTAACTGAAAATAGATAATGAGACATTCTCGATACAATCAACAGGAAAAAAAAAGTGAAAGTAATTTACCATGTTGTCCAAATTCTGTCAGGATTTCGTGACGTAACGTCGAACACAAAGACACGTTATATATTTTTTTCTCTAAAACTCTGTGTTTAAAATGTATTTACACTCACATAAACATGTCTTTAAGTATCAGTATCTTGCACAGTCGTAACTACCGTATGCTGTAGTTGTCCTGAACTGATACGTTCCTCCATAGTTTAGTTGACAGTTCGGGTTGGACGTACCGACGGGGGACGAGTTGAGAAGTCGTTGGGGATCGTACATTTCCCTATAGGTAGCCTCGCCCCCCACAGTTTCGGCCGGAAGGGTGTACCAAGTATTGGTGGTAGACGAGTTTTGCGCCGTCCGATTCGTAACATAATTGTGCCCCGACGAAGACGTCAGCCCCACGATGGAACACCCCAGATAGGAAGAAGACACGTCGTCCAGGGTGACGGTCCTCCCGTTGCTGTAACCCACGGGCGAGGGTGGAGTGGGGTACGTGGTACAGGTCGTGGTGCAAGTGGGCTGGCAAGTGTACATGGAGTGTCTAGCGTTGTAACCGTTGTTGACCCCGCACTGTCCCATGGAGGTGACGTCGAGTAGGACCGTCGAAAGATTAGGCGATTGGCTTCTACCGGACATTAAAGAGTCGATGGCGTACGCGTTCGACTCTATGGCGTCACCGTTCAATATTGTGGTGGAAGTGGAAGGAACAGGAGATGTGACGGATGGAGCCAGGGATGCAGCTGTCGGACTCGTCTTGTTGTCGTAAGGATATTCTTGTTTTAAACAAGACGTAATTGCAGAAGTTTCTCTAGGCTCCACTTTGGGTGCTACCGTACACTGCACGGAACCTTGGCCTACTCCTTCATTATTCCTTGCTTCGCTTAAACTATCGAGTTCGTCCTCGTTAACTTTCTGACTCGCGTTCTCTACCTGTTTTTTCTTCTCTTCTTTATCTTTGCCGGCATCCTTCTTCTTGAATCTCCTCCTTCGTCTCAGGTAGCTTCCATTATCGAACATGTTATCGCTATCGGGATCTAGAGTCCAGAACGATCCTTTACCGGGTTTCTTATCGTCTCGTGGTATTTTAACGAAGCACTCGTTCAAGCTCAGGTTGTGACGTATGGAGTTTTGCCATCCCTGTTTGTTCTCCCGATAATACGGGAAGCGATCCATAATGTATTGATAGATTCCATTCAGGGTTATCTTCTTGTCCGGCGCATTCTGGATTGCCATGGCTATCAATGCTATGTAGGAATATGGCGGCTTGACCATCTCCTTGCCTGCTACTTGCTGGCTGGCCTGAGTGGCGTACGAAGGTCCGTAGGGTGCGGGCCGAACCATCCCGTTACCGGTCGAAGATCTGGGCGAGTTGTAGCCCGACACCGCGTTGGGTGCGTGTATACTGTTCACACCCATACCCCCATATCCGCCGTAGCGGTAGTAACCGTGTCCTTCGCCGTATAATGGGTGCATGGGGTGTCTAATGGTGCCGAATCGCCATCACACTTATTTAACTCTTCCTCGACGTATCTGGCATATTAGAAAGTCGCAGACTTGTAGACGTTAGACTACTTGTTAAGGACGAAATCACCTCTCCACAGCCGGTGAGATGCAAGCTGAGTTCTGGAGGGTTGGTTCTCCGCCTACTGGCTCCAGTCAGCCAATGGGAGAAGCTCTTGCCCGAGACGGAAGGTATTCCTAGTGTAGCGAATTAACAGGCGACAAATTAATTAGTGTGACATGTCTGTGCCAACCATTTGCGAAGATTTAAAGAGTAATAAGGGCACGTTGCTTTGTTTGACTGATTTTAATATTTAAAAAAAATCTTTATTTGCTTATAATAATTGTTTAATATTTTACGTCATAAATCCTATTTTAATTATTTTATAATAAATGTGACGGAGGCCTTTGTATAATAATCTAAATTATTAGGTTAGTGCGTAGATTTATGCCTTTGTTTCCACGAAAACAACAGTTCTTATGTTTTTTGTTTTAATGCCAATTTTTACATTTTATCGAATGAAATTTTAGATTTTTACACGAAAATCTTAACCGAAATTACACAGATATATAAACATATTATTAAAGAAAAATCTAAAAATAACTGTTAACGTTCGTTCCATCGTTAAAAGCTGCTTAGAATTTATTACTTGTTCCACTTTTAAGCTCTTTTTTTAATTAAATCTGGCACCATAGCCATGTTAACCATGCATTAAACTTGTCAAAAATCCTATTATAAAGTCGGATAATTCTATTAAGTGTGCATAAATAGCTTCTTTGGTTCGTTGTTTATTGTGTGAAGTTTGAAATTACCATATAATTTCCTTATTTTATATAATAATTAGTTCGTTCGTTCATCACGTTGCAGCTTTAACCACGAGAAACACTAATCATTGAATAATTATTTCTACGCATTAATTTTTCACAAAGTTTATATTTTAAAGGATGTGAGATCTTTTTAAATATATTGAACCTGTCCTTATATCCATATTTTGTATATTTAACGTGTCATTTATCTACAGCTGGATACAGCAGCTGGATATATACAGCTGAATAATCATACATTGATGCGGATCTCGTAACGCTTTTCGTAAGATTATTTTAGAGAAAATTCAAGGCCTGGTCTGTAATTCTACATAAATTTAAATCGCCGAAAGTATATAATAACCGAAAAATAAAATAGTTATACGTATACTAAACGTAAATTCTACGAAGATGAGAAGCAAACAAGGAAGGGGGGAGAAAAATACTCTTTTGAAGTTCTGTATCAGGGTGTTTCTCACGAATATCCAACCACTGTCACTCCTTTATGTCCCGTCCACGCCTTCAGCTGTCAAAACGATGAACTATGACAGCCAAGTTTTGGAGAAAAGCACATTTCGTCTTAAGTGAACCGCGTCAAACGGAGATTAAAAGAAAAATCTTTGATGCGCCCTATTTTTTTTTTTAACTTTAGAGTTTGCTACAGTAAAAATTTCCAACGGTTGACTTATATACTGATTTACTGATGTGACACAAGTTGCGTCAGAGATTTACGGCACATCTACGCTGTTTATAGAACAGCCTCAAGGCTGTAATGAGTGGGAGGGTGTGGTGACGATGCTGAAAGTTTCAAGTACGTCCTGAATGATGTACAGTACTAGTGCAAAAAACTCTAGTCAGGTGTGAATGTTTATTAGAAATTAAACATTAAAATCTGGTTTATAGATTCGTTAAGCATAATTTCTAATCGATTTTAATTTCCGTATAACAACAAGTAAATCATAATTAACTGAATTGTTCTTTGTGAAATCCGATGAACGGTTCTTTAATCTCCGAATAAAAGAAAAAAATAACCGTTTATAATAGAATTCTAACCGAATTTTTGAGTAAACTAAACACGTTAACATGCCAAGAATTTGTGGAGTTATGCAAAAATTTCCAATCCAGTAACAATAATAAGAATTAAGGGTGAAGGTTCTAGTTAGAAAATAGTAAAGTAAATATTGTCGATGATTAACTCGTTGTGATGTCGATCCGATGAACTTCTACAGCTAAACTTTGTTCGTGGTATTCGGTATATTATGTTAATTTTATCCTTGAATATTATCCAAAAATTCCCTCGATAATAAAAAACCAATTTTAGCGAAGATATAACGAGAAATTTGATACTTTTAAAGCTTGTATAGTAGACTATTTTGATTAGGTTCGACTACGTCATTTATAATTTTAGATGAACGTTTCTAAAATTAAAGAAAATACTATCCAGAATATAATTTTACACAATGTTCCAGCGTTAAATCTTCTCCAATCTTAACCATTGGAAGACAGCGAAGAAAGTGAGAAAGGAACAAAAAAAAAAAAAAACTAATGTCATTCTGTAACAGGAAACACCAAATATCCAGTTTCGGTTTTACGTATTTCTCTACTGACAACAGAGAGTAAAAAGCCAAAAAAGAAAATAAGGAAAAAAAAAAAGAATATATCAAACGACGTTGGTGGATATGTCATCCATCAAGCGCCATTTTTCTTCGCACTTTATTGCGTGGTTGGTTACAGAGAAGTCAGAATTTATCACACTGATTGGTGCTTGGAAGAGTTTCAAGAGGGGGAAGAGCGAAAAAAAAAAAAAAAAAGTATATTTTTCCAACCTGTGCCAAAGTAGGTGATGTGCCATTATCTAAATCTTTTAGTGGGATATTATAGAAAGATGGCCAGAATCGGGATGTGGGAGAGATACGACATGTAGAGTGTAGCTTAAAACGTGACAGAATTTCGGTTTGTCGAATAGAGTTCGTGACCTTTGGCGTGCGAGACGAAAATCTCCAAGTATTCAATTTGTCAAATGCCGAGATCCTGTCCCACTGGAGCAGATAGGAGATCCTCCAGTTCAAGGAACGTAGGCTACTATTTATGTTCCGGACGAAAGTTTCATGGCGGGCACGTTCGTCTTCAAAAAAACCTCTATTCTGAGTAAGATTATCTTTGAATGATCTCGGACACTTAATATATATTTATCCATCTATACCATACACAACTAAGTTTTTAATTTGTTCAACAGAAATATATTTTCTTGAGGATTTATAGTTTAGAATGTCAATAAAACTGAGACAAAGTAAGTAGGAGTTATGGTAAAATTTTAACGAATTATTCCATTTTAAAACTGTAAGAAGATCAAGAAATATACAGAAATTTTTTATGTAAATCTTAAATGTATACAAGATAAGTTAGAATAAATGAAAATCGCGCTTCTTCTTTGAAATCTTGATAGATTCTATGGGATATAGGAATAAAGTAAATGTAATAGTTATAAATATATTGTAGATAAATATCAATTTAGCCAGCTTACACTCATTTCTATGTTATATTTAAGATTAAAACAATAATTTAGCTAAAAACAGGCCTACATCTTGATATATTCTAATGTAAATTCAATTATGTTGTGTGGAATAATTTGAATTTTATAGTGTTAATATGTTAAATTAATATTATTTTCATACAGAATGACAAATTAATTTAAATTTTCTCAAAAATGTAATTTTTTTTCCTTTAATTTAATGTCGATTTAATTATTTTTGTTCTTTTATTTTTTTTTTACAATTCCTTCCTTAGCTATTTTATATACAACACGTAGAATAAAGAAATTTAAATCTTATTTTAATAATTAAATGATGATAATGTATTTAATTTAAATGTAATTTAGTCAAATTGTGTAACGTTCGAACAAAATAAGGTTTAGTTAATGCTCCACGAAGATAAGATGATGAGGAAGATGATGAGATGAAGAAAAGTTACTCCGCATCATCATCATCCTAGAAAATAAATTTGAATAAAATTATGTTATAATTTTTACAATAATTTATTAATAATATCTCTAAATAAATTAATTTATATATATTTTAATAATTAGTAAATAAATCTTAATGACAAATTAAGCTGCTGCTTATTACTCTAAAATCATTAGATCTATTCATTAATTTGGCTAAATTAAACCAAATAAAAATTATAACATAATTTTTATTTGGTTTTATTAACATAATTATCATCAAAACTTGATGATAATTTAATTAATAAAATCTATATTATAATTAAATTAACCTTAACTTAATTTTAATTTTATTTATTTGGGTATTTTATTGACTTAAAGTATTAGTTAGGTTGTCTTCTATCAACCTACAGCAACAACTAAGTTGATTTTCTATGCTAAATTATGGATAATTTTTATTTAATTTTTTATATAAAATTATATTAATATCTTTTTAAACATTTGCTAATAATGAATTAATAATGAAGCAGTTAATTATATTAAAATTCAATTAATTTACTTAAGTAGAATTATGCTAATTGTCATGAAGTTTGCAATTTTTAAAATCTATTTTTACCTTATTCTCGTTATAGTTGAGCTTAACAAAGGATTAATGTTATCTTCTATAAGAATCAGTAGTAAAAAAGATGTTATGAGAGTATTAATTAAATATATTCCCTTTCAAAATAACAAAAATTGATTCATTCTCTATCAGAATCTAGTGACAATTGCATAGATTTGTTGTCAAAATTTAGCAATTTATTTAAATAATTAACAGAAGAAGGTTATTATGGCCGTTTAGACAGGCACAAGAGATAGAGAAGGCCAAAATTTATATAAAAAATCCCTGATATCTTCCCTACAATGATTAAATTTTGACCTTTCTCTAACATGCTTTTCCTATTTAATTAAATTTTGGTAGTAAACTGATAAAAAAAATATTATATTTTTTATATAAAATACTAAATTTTGGTTTATTCTACGTCTTGTGCCTTGTTAAGTGGACTTATTTACTATCAAAATTTAGCAATTTAATTAAATAATTAGTATAAAACCGGATAGAGGAAGGTCAGCTGGATCGTTTGGCTCGAGTGGCAGATGCGAAGAGGCCCCAAAATTTAGTATTTTATATAAAAATAACTGATAAATTAATGTTTGTTTTGTTAAGTGATAAAAAAACCCCGCATTTTATTTGTTTTATTGATTTTATTCACATATTTTATAACTTTTTGACAGGATTGGGGCCTCGCATTTGTGAGTAGTTCGAGCCTCATTCATCCCCTTCAATCGGTCTCTAAAGAAGTGAGATAAGGCTCGACTTAATAATTATTAATTAAAATAGTAATAACTAAAGCTAAGCAAAAATAGGTGAGTTTCAATAGGAATAAACAG